TTTTGGATACACTAAACTTAAGGAAAAAGTATTAATAATACCGTGAAACCACGGTATATCAACGCCAGCCCCTAACATCAGAGGATGCGGTGCGCCGCCCTATCCCCTTGGGTGTATCTGGGGCGTGCCGCGCCAGCATTTCTCAAGGCAAGCTCTCGACGAATTTTGTCTCTCATTTTCTAACCCTAAATTGCTTTTAATCAAATTCTTTTCTCAAATTTTTCTTAGATTCAATTACCCAACCTAAGTAAACACTAATACACTCTAAATAACTTTCCAAACAATCACTTTCATTTCTAGAAATCATCAAAACCCCAACAAGAAATAAACCTCAAGAACACCTATAAAGAACTTGAATCCTTCAACTTTTTTAGAATGAAATGATGCTGAAAATAACATGTTAGGCGTGTGGGTGAACAAACCCAATTCTATGGAAGCTAACATACCTCTTAGGGATTAAACCCATGGCGAAAATTCGCAACTACACTCAAGAAAGTCGACGAACGGCTTCATCTTTTCCTCTTTTCTCTTTTTTTCTCTTTTTTTCTCTTCTTGTCTCTTCTTGAACTCTCAATTAAAGCCCTAAGCGTATAATAGGATTATACTGAAACTAATAGGATTAGACTCTTAAACCTCACCAAAAATGAATTAAATTTGATTGGGTAAGGAAAATACCAAAATACCCTCACTATTTTTTACTAACTTTCCTTAACTGGACATCCTAACTTCAAAAGGTCAGATCTCACTCATTTGAACTCGAAACTTAGCAAACTCGATGGTGTTGGAAAGATAATTCAAAGATATTTCATATGGTATCATGTATCACACCTAAATAATCATGTAATAGGAGCTATAGTCGTTTGAAGTTTACTCAAAACTCATACTTAAATTAACTGTCCAAATTTCATATTTTACTATTTCCAATTTTGTTCTTTTTGGAACTCTTGGTGCTAAATCTAGTTAATTGACCTTAATCCTTAAGAAATTTTTAATTCCTTTGTAAAACCTAACTCACTACGATGAACAGTTTGAGTCTTAGTTCAAAAAAATTTATGAGGTGTTACAAGAAATTTTGATGACTTGTGTCGCTTTATATCCTTTCATTTTTCTAAGTCAGTCAAAATATATTTAGTTGATCGTTTGATTATGTTTGATATTGTACCTTGTCTAACTTTTAAATTAAGGTTTTCATCAAGCCACAACTGTAAACCTTTTTGAGTGCTTGTGGAATGATATCTTTAATAGTCACATAATGCTTTACGTATTTGATCTATCATTGTTGATTTTACAAAAAAATTTAAAGGAAAAAGGGTCAAAAATATCCCTCGATTTTATTTTATTGGTTGACTTTACCCATTCCGTTAAAATTAAGTTATTTTTACCCCTGTCATCAAACTTAACAAATATACTCCTCCTCGGATGGAAAGCCTCAAATCAATTAAACTTACTCGATTTTAATTAAATTGCCCGATTTTTATCCGACCTAACCCACTTTAAATATAACTCATTTCTTTTACCCAAATCAATTTTGTTTTCCCTACCATCACTAAAGTCACCACCACTAAAGCAATAACCCTCTCCGACGATCTCCTTCACCACCATCGCTGAAATCACTTCTTCTCCTACTACTCTACCTCCTTTACATATTACCCTCTAAAAAGAAGGGGGGGAGGGGGAATTTATCTTACCTGAGCTTGATGATCTTCGCGATATTGACTTCTGTGTCAGTCTTAGGCTCTCAGTTATTTTTGGTAGCCAAGAACCATTTGAAGTAGAGAAAACTAAAGCTAGTAATTAGTACTACACAAATGTTAACATTTCCAGTTACCAATATCCAAAAATTAATGGATCCTATTAGAAACCAAAATCATTGAGAATTGATGCCAACAACCTAATCATAGAGATTTTTTCCAAGTACAGTGATAGTGGTGAAGGAGATCTCGGAGAGGGTGGTGATTTTGGTGGTGGTGATGGTGATGATAGGGAAAATAAAGTTGATTTGAGTAAAAGAAATAGGTTATTTTATTAAGTGGTTCAGGTTAAAATTGGATAATTCAAGTAAAATTGGATAATTTTAATTGATTTGTGGCTTTTCATTCAAGGAGGGATATATTTGTTAAGTTTATTGACGGCAAAGGTAAAAATAACTTGTTTTTAATGACAGGGGTATAGTCTTTCAATAAAATAAAGTTAATGGGTATTTTTGATACTTTTCTCACTTTTAAATGAGAAGTCATTTTTGGATATGGTTTAAAGAAATTTCCTATTTTGCTTAGTTTATACAGTATAGTTTTTTTCTCGCCATCATACATCTAATATTTTGAATAAAAATACAATGAATAATAATTGATTATTAAGAAACAATGAACATCATGTAATATTTTACTATGAATGATTAAATTTCTTTACAATTAATCATTTAACAAAAAATATATATTACAATGAACCATACATATACATTATGTCAAGTTTATATCAAATGTTTGCATATCATTTTTCATGGCCTCTTACCATTTGAAGTTTCTTGAATTTTATATTGTCGGGAGACTCGGATTGTGAAATGGCTATTCAAAGTTACTATATGTGAATGTTTTGCCAAATTTTTCTCATATTTTTCTCTGAAGTTTCTGTAAGTTAAAAGCACTAAATTTATGTTGTAATTCACAGTAAAACATTGAGTGCTAGTCCTCGCATTGCAGGAAATAGTTGCTTCTAAACTCATAAGTTCATATTTACTTTTCATTGAAGTCTTTGAAATATTTAAGCTATATAACTTTAAATTTCACATGAGTTTGTCTATCTTTTGAGTAGCGAACAATCTCGTCTCTGTCAAACAACAATATGCAATGAGAAAGGCATTTTTGAGATACTAGATCTTTATACTTTATTGATAGTGAATTGATAAGATCTTTCTTACTAGACTTTCAACAACTCTGAATTAAAAAAAGGACATGTCAATCGACTTAGGAACTCTATGCAAGTAAAGTGACCTCCTGAACGAACACATGTAATACTTGTGGATGATATTCCTTTTCTTTTAATGCAAATGATAAGCCACATCTTTTAATCCTCCGTAATTAATCTATGTGAATATTGTTAATTTGTTAGTATTCGTGAAATAAGAGAGTTACTTCCACATTAATAATTCACATTTATCTCAAGTGTCTGCTTCTTAATTTTGTAAGTAAATATATGAAGTATTTAGAAGACTTAAAGTTACTTTTGTATTATGACAAATTTGTTATTAAAGTAAGAGTACAATTATTATACGTTAGTTTCTTACATTCTTTTGATGGTTGAAAACATAAATGAATTTCCTATATAAGGAGTGTCACTTGGGAGCTATATACATAGAGAAGAAGAAAAATCATTTTCTCATTTGCCATCTCCTTCAATTTTTTTATTGGGTTAAATAATCATTCTTCCCATTGTGGATTTTAGGAAAAGTATTTTTGTGCAATTCCAAACTTTCAACCACGAGGGCACGTGTTTGAGGATAACTGTGGAACCTTGGGGAGTGACCGACTATTATGATTTGCACCATAGTCCGGCCAAAATCACTTTTAAAGCAGTGGCTTGCTACGACACAGTATTTGTGATAAGTTATTTACTACTTTGTAATTTCAATTCAATATCAATATTGTATATTTTAATTTGAAAGAAATTTTACTAACAAACAATATTGATAAATGATTCTTTCTTTGCACAAAACTTTTTCCGATTTGTCAAAACATGAGCGTTTGGATGGAAAAAATTTTAAACGTACATCATAAAAACTTTTAATTTTCTTTGAATGATTAGAAGTTGATTATGTTTTATGTAACGAACCTTCTATGTATGGTTCAAATACTATTAATTCTAGCAATATTATGGTTGTTGATGATGTTGTTAAACAGAAGTTTGCAAAGGATAACAAAATTGTGAGAGGACACTTGCTAAATCATATGACTAATCATTTATTTGATTTATTTATTATAAATTTGTCAAAGAAATGTAGGATAGTTTGGAATAGAAATATGGTGTTGATGATACAGGAAAGAAATAATATGGTGTCGGTCAGTTAATTAAATTCCATATGGTTGTTAATAAGTCAATAATGAAACAAATTCACGAATATGAGAACTTAATTGTTGATGTTCTCAACGAGGACATGAAGATGTGTGAGATATTTCAGGCTAATGTTCTGCTTAATAATACCTCATCATCTTAGAGCGATTATAGAAATCAATTAAAACATTAAAAAAAATTAACTCTCCTGAAACGTATTAGTTATATAAGGACTGAAGAGGCGAACCGTTTCAAACATAAGATGGAAGAACTTTCTCTTAATTCTTCTAAAGCTAATCTTGTTGAATCTTCTAGTACTTTGTGAAAGACAGATTCAAAGGCAAACATAAGAAATTCTTGAAAAAGGAACATATAAAGAAAACAATCAAATTAACAAGCCGGAAAGCAAAAATCAAAGTGCCCTTATTTTGTCTATGGAAAAAATGATCATAGGACTGCCAAGTGCTATCAAAGAAAAAGGCAAGACTCAAAACAGGAAGGACAAAATGATGTACAAGTTCATCTTGTTGAGGATAATGAAGCGATTGTTGTTGTAGTCGTTGAGGCAAAATTGGTGTCTAAAAAAGATGACCGTGTGCTAGGCAAAGATGCTCAAACCATTTTTGTGCCAATAAAAGTTTATTCCATAACTTTGAGGAGTTCACTGATAGAGAGTGTGTTTAAATGGATAATTCCAGTACTTTTGGAGTTATAGGTATTGTAAAAGTTAACTTCAATTAACTTCTGAGAAAACTTTATCTTCATTATCAAAAAACTTACCTTATAGCCACGTTCGCAAAAATTGTGACAAAATTAGCTGAAAAATAAAAAATTATCCAAGTAGTACGAACTATGGCTAAAATAGGTGTTATGAATGAGCCTAGACAAGTATTGGCAAAGCGGCATACATCTTTGCCAATACTTGTCTAGGCCCATTTATAACAATAGGTTGGTAAAATTTCATTCCCTCCCTTTATTTTTTCATTTGCCTCCTTTTCTATTTTTTCCCTCTATTCATCACTTCACCCAAAACCAACCCTTAAAATCTAAACCGATTTCTGCCCAAAATTCAATTCTATTCTTCAAAATCGATTTCTGCCCAAAATTCAACTCTCTTCTTCAAAATCGAAATCTGTCAAAACCAGCTTCAAATAGTTGTGGAATGTGGTAAGCTTGCTTCGTTCAAGTAATAAATCTTTGCAATATAGTGTGTTTAAACTGCAAATTGAATGTAGGGTTTTGGATAAAATTTTTGTTTATTGAAGTTATGAGCTTTGAAATCTGCAATTTGATGTGTTTTAATTGAGTTTTCTAGTTGTAAAGAATATAACTTTTAGTGGTAGGTTATAAATCCTAGTTTATTTATGTTGAAAAAATCATGCTCACACCTCTGGAAAGATTGATGGATAGATTTTCACCACGAATTTTGTATATAAGATTATTCATTGGAGGAATTACTACCATAAAACGATAACCTCTGTGCTTATATATAAATCTTGAGAGGTGTAAAATTTCGCAGGATTAGATCTCCTTTTTTTGTTACGTGCATTTCAAACCGTGTTCTAGTTATCGTTTGTTTCTGCATAAGGAACGTGAATTTAAGACCAACATTTGTAAAATTAAAGAGCATTGCCTATCTGGGATCAAATACGATACTACTTGTTTTACGTTTTATTGGGTTTACTAGTTGTAAAGCAATCAGCACAATCATTTTTAGAATGCCTACGAAAACAATAAGCTGACAACAATAGCACAACTTCCCTAAATTTGGATCAACGAGAAGACCAAGTTGTGAATGAGATTATTACAGATCTTACTCTCGGTAATGGCAATTTAATATCTTCAAGTTTTGTTGGAATTAGCTCACAAGTGAAAATGAGTCGTTACTTGTCCACATTAGAGGTTAGAAGTAATTTCATATTAAAGTTGATTGTTTCTTTTTGTTCTTTACTATTATTTTGGAATATCCTCTGTTAAATATCTGCCACAAGTGTTAAATTATCGTTGTAAGTGTCATTCTGTAGATAGCATCCCATAAAACATCATTTGCATTAGTTTTCAGCCTGCTACTCCATTGGACTCCTGCTATGTAGCAACTTTACTTTAGGAAAGTAAGGAAAGGAAAAAATACGAAACTTTCTAACTCCTAAGTCCTGTACATACACAATATAACTCATTTTGTACATTTAAATATGCCTTCAACTATAAATACAGTAAGAATCAGAAGTTATAACTTATAAGCTAAATCTGTAGTAGAGACAAAAATGGCTGAAAATTACTAGTTACTTATAAGAAACCTATGTGATGTCAATGAATGCTTCAGATATGTTGGTAAGTTCTTGTTTCGTCTTTGCAATGTCTGATTTTTCTCTCTCCCTTCAACATCATTATAGCTTAAATTCTTTTCTCGCTCCGATATCTTCCTTTTAAATTTTATATTGCATCCTTTATGTGGAAGTAGATACTCCTTTTAAGATGCCAACAATTATGAAATAGGATACACTTGTATCATTGTTGAGCAATCTAAATGAACGTGTAATAAAGACCATTGTGAGTCTGAAAATTTAAGACAGATTTTTGTTTACTTTCATTAAGTAATATTGTTGGTGTTGACCGTGTTAAAGCGATTTATGTAGCTTTAAGAACTTCTGTCCCACATCTTGTGAAATTGTGCCCTTCTATTACATGTAAATTTATGTTTGAGAATTACAGAAACAAAGTGCACAAAAATTAAAAAATAGAAAGAAACTTTAACTCTCGCATGCCCGTGTTAGCTAAAGCAATGCAAGGAGAGGTCGTCAAATGATATGTTTCTTAACCTTGAATTCTATTTGGAAATCATTTTATTGTATCAAGTGAAATGTATTTCACGTTTATATTTTATTTATATGTACTTGATTAATGACAAGAGCAAAAATTGGAAAGACTTGACTGTTGGAGTGAGGTTATTTTGTCAACGTTACTGAAGAAGGATGGTAATTATGTGAATGAAGAAGGAATTATTTTAGCTATAAGATTTATATACCAGTCCATTTTCAAATTTCACTTATGGTGTTGATTTATTCTTGTCTTTTTTCTTTGGTCCATAGCATAGCATAAGACTCAATTAGCTATCAAAGAATAAAAACAAAAAATAAATAATGTAGGTGAAAAATTGAGCTTATTTTTCTAGCAGTTGCCTTTGTGCTATAAATGTGTCTGCCTAGGATGCTCTTCCTCTTTAATCGTCAAATAACTCTGAAGTTGTGATCGTTTGTTTTGTGTTGTCTCATTACACATTAGAAAGTGATTTTTATTTTAAGTTTTTGTCAGAATGGTTGATGTCTTGTAGTAATACTTTTGTTAATATTTTTTTGTACAAATTCTGTTAACTTCTGTTAGTAGTAGTGCTTTGTGATGTGTTCTATTTGCTTTTAGTAATGTGAATATATCCTTTCTTGTTGGATAAGATATCTGAGCATCTACCTAAAGATCAGGAACTTGCTGCCAGTTCGTGTGTTCCTATGAAGATACTAGCTCATCCTAATAATGCCATTGGAAAACTGTATGGAGTTGAACATTCTGGCCGCGTGCGTGGTTTAGGTGGTAATATTTACCCTTCAAATGCTTTTGGAGTGTCTCGTATTCAATTAGTCATGCGAATCTTGGGTAGCTCTAGTAGTATGTCTCATCAACATGTTGGAGACCTAGAGAAACATGTGGAAACCTTGAAAGAAAGGGATATAAAGAGACCAAAGAACAGCTTGAGGCGACCAAATAAACGCTCGAGGAAACTAAGAATCGGCTTGTGCAAAATGAGACTAATCTTCTTAGCCTTTAGTATATTTGAAAACAAACTATATAGATATGGTGTTTCATTTAACTTTTAGTATTTTCATTACTCTAGCATTTATAGTATTTTGTATGAATATTCAAGGTTTGAAGATCTTATGTTTTGTGACTATATGTAGAACAATGTTGGAATTTTTTGTATGCTAGTCAATTTATCAGTGAATCATTTGGAAATCATTTTATTTTATCAAGTGATAATTATGTGATCACTGTGAATGCCTATAAATTAGTGTATTGATATTGTGATATATAGCAGGGAATTTTTTTTTTAAAAAAAATACACTTTTGCCACAGTTGAACCGTAGCTAGTCCATGTTCTGTACGAAAGTTATGAGCAAATTACCAACGCATAAATTAGCCACGGTTAATTTATGGGTAAGTCATGATTTGTTGTTGGGAAATTTACCCATGGGTAGACCGTGGCTAAACCCCAATCTAGACCGTGGCTAGAAGAATGTTACCACGGAGGTAAAACCGTGGCAAATTTCATGGCAGACACCCCTGCTAGGAAAAAATATCTTAGTGGAGGATTATTTGTATTGAACATTGTTCAAGAGATTGTCAATAAAGCAAGTATTTCAAAATCTGCTTATATTGTTGAGTTTATTAATTTATGGCATGGTAGACTAGGTCATGTTAATATTGCTTCTATCAAAAGCCTAAAACCTACGAGAAAAAACTAATGATATTTCTAAATGTCCTGTGTGTAGAAGCAAAGCATGCCAAGAAAACTTTCAAATATTGTATTGGTAGAAAGACCAAATTACTTGAACTAATACATTCAGATTTAGCAGATTTCAAGAACAATGTTAGCAAAGGTGGAAAAAAATATTATATTACTTTTGTTGATGACTTTTCTAGATACACTAAGGTATATCTTCTTAAGTCCAAAGATAAAGCTGAAAGCATGTTTTTGAAATTCAAAGTTGAAGCGAAAAATCAATTAGACAAAAAAATAAAGAGATTTAGATCTAATAGGGGCGGTAAATATAGTACTAAAACTCTAGAAGATTTTTTAGAGAAAAATGATATCATACATGAGGTTAGTGCTCCCTATAATCCCCAACAAAATGGTTTAGCCGAACGGGAAATAGAACCCTTTAAGAAATAATGAACTATCGATAATATGTGGGGAGAATCAGTTTTGTCTGCATGCTATATTTTTTAATAGTCCCTCATAAGAAATTAGACAAAGCCTCATATGAGTTGTGAAAAAGGGTTTGCTCATTACTTAAAATTTCGGAAAGTGTGGGGGGTGTTTGGATAAATTTGGTCTACCTGATTTAAATGCATAAATGTTAGTTTTAAGACTTCTGATACTATTTTATTGGTTATGCTTAAGAGTGGAAATCGAATCGGTTTTTATCCGGTCCGGTCCGATTCCCGTACCGGTCCGTCCGGTACTAAATGAACCTGTCTCCCTTTATATCGGACCTTTACCGAATCGAGTCCCGATTTTTAATCCAGTTGAACTGATTTCGGTCTGATCCGATCTGATAAGGACCGATTTACCTGTTTAATTTTTTTAAAAAAATAGCCGTAAAAGTCGATCATTGGGCCCTTCTAGCCGGTGGGTTGGGGCCCAAAGAGGCCAAAAAATACCTCCCACACCTTTCTAATCCCTTTACTATAAATATCACCTTTTTTTTTCATTTTAAATCACAAATTCACAAACTACTTACTTATACATCTTATACAATCTCTCAATTTTAAATCTCTCATAAATTGTTAATTATTATATTGTGATAATGATTTGGAGTTTAGATGTCAGAAATATATTTAAAGTAACTTGCAATTTGGAAGCTACAATAGGCATCTCTCAATTCAGCTTTGGTTATATGTCTAATTTTACGTGGACGTTTGGTACATTCATTCCAACTTTCAACTTTAATTTTTTATTTGTTTGTTAATTAAGTAATTTATTTCTTCTATTATATTATCTTGCTTGTTTTTCATAATATTTAATTATTTTAAATTTGAACATGAATGTGAAAAAAAATAGTGGTAAAAGACCAATATCGGAAAAAAAAATAATAGGGGAGGAGTAAATAGTTCTAGTTCTAAAAATTTGCCACCTAGATTTGTAGTTAATACTAATGATTATAGTCATGTTAATGAAACTTTTTTTATGTCACCACCAGGACCTATTGAATTTAATTCCGAAAATGAAGTAGATCATGAAACTCTAAAAAGACATTGTACTAATTTTGAGGAAGAATTAGATAAAGAAGTAGAAAAAAATGAGGAAGATAAAGAGACCCTTACCCCCACTAGTCCGGTTACCGAATTACCAGAACAAGATGAAGTCCCCCCTTTACCTACTTTTTCAAATGTCATCGTCGTACGTGTAAAAGATCTTTAGTATAGACATTTTTTATACAAAATGAGGCAAAAACTATTGTTACTTGCACTTAATGTAAATTGGTCATGAAACGTGTAACTACGGGTACACAAGGAGGAACGGGACGACTAAGAACACATTTACGAAAGTGTAATGAAAAATTTGCTCGCCTAGATGATATAGAAAGAGCTAATGGAAATGGAACACTCATACCCGAAAGTTCTATGGAAGTTGGAGGTTCTAATATGGTTCAAGGTGTATTGAATATGTCTAACCTGACTAGTCGAAGCACACACCACATGTATAGTAAAGAAAAAGATCGTAGAGAATTAGCTAAAATGGTTGCTGTTTGTGATTTGCCTTTTTCATTCCCTTCACATCTTGATTTTGTTCATTACATTCAAGAATTATATAACCCAAATTATGAAGGTATTCCAAGAAATACAATTAAAAGTGATCTTTTTAAATATCAAAAAAATATTGTCATTTTCTTTGTTGTTCATTTGCTTATTATGATGGTAGATTATCTATTACGTTTGATATGGGACGTAGTCCTAATGGTAACAATTATTTTACACTTATTGTCCATTCGTTTGACCATGAATGGAACATACAAAAACAAATATTAGCGTATAAATATGTTGAAGAAACTAAAATCGGTTCTCATATAGCATCAAAAGTAGGCTCTGTTTTACAATATTATGGAATATGTGATAAAATAATGAGAGTCGCTTTAGATAATGCTTCTACTAATTTGAGAGCAGTTGATTATTTAAAAAGTAGACTTTGTCCAATTGATAATTATTATTTTCATATTAAGTGTACCGCACGTATGTAAATTTAATAGTAAAAAAGATGGTATTTCTCAATTTGAAGTTCTAGTGAAAAAATTAAATTTGCTTGTAGTTGGATTTTTAAAGCTAAAGAAAAAGCTAGAATTACATTAAAAATCGTTATAATGAATGTGGACTTGCATATAGAAAAGTTCCAAAAGAAGTATGCGCTGGATGCAATTCTTTATTTGAAATGCTTCAAGTTGCTTATATTTATCAAAAGCCGATACAATTAGTATTTAATGCTTATAATGCGGATTTGAATTTAAGAATTGACTTGAAAGATTGAAAAAATACAAAAGAATTTGTTGAATTTTTAAGTGCTTTTTATTAAGCAACAATAGCATGCTATGATCAATATTATCGTACTATTTCTTCTGTTTTAGTAAATATTTGGGTTATTTCGTCTGAATTTGCAAAATATAAAGGAAATGATCAATTAAAAGATTCACTTGTTTTTATGATTGAAAAATTCAAAAATATTTTTCCCTGTTCCTCAAATCTATATGACTGCTACTACTTTCAACCCAAATTATGATTAAGAGGTGTTGAAAGAATGACTGAAAAGAATTATGTAAATTTAGAAATTAAAGATGATGAAACTCCTAGTGTTGAAGAATGTAAAAGTAGCATTTATACAAAAGCTAGAGATTTATATAATGCATATAAAGTTATGGAAATAAATATTCCAATAGTTGAACCTCCATCTTCTAAGCCTAAGAGTGATGATACGGTTAATTGGATGGAAGAATATCTTGAACTTGAATCTTCTACTAATAATGATTTTGATTTATATTTCAATCAGGCACGGAAAAAGATCAGGCATGAAGAAGGACAACTTCAACCTCCAATATTTGTATGGCGGAAGAATCGTGAAAATCAATTTTCAATCCTTGCTAAGATTGTTCGAGATGTGCTAGCGATTCAAGCATCATCGGTCGCTTCAGAGCAAGCCTTTAGTGTGGCGAAATTTATGATTGGAGATCATCGATATTCATTACCAAAGGACAGTTTAAAAATATCGGTGTTGTTTCGAGATTGGGTCAATGCCGAAAGAAGAAACACCGGACTACCACTATTAAGTAGCCAAATAGATGAAATATTTGGTGAGAATAGTGATATGATGATATGGAAGCAACGGAATAAGATCGACAAATGCAAGTTCCAAAAAATCTTCTCTTCAAATGATACTAAATTTACAAAAAGAATTTTTTTTAAAAATGCAATTGTTAGTACAATAATTAATATTCAATACCAAGATTATGTAATCTTTATCTCTTTCTAATATTTATATTATACAATTTATTTATTTAAATAAATATACGGCTATTCGCCTTGATTTTCTTTTAAAATAGTCTATTCTATATAAACTTTAAAATTTAAACTTTAAATTCAGTTTCAAACTTTAAATTCGATATTTAAAGTTTAAACTATAAATTCAATTTCAAACTTTAAATTCAATATAAAGTTTAAACTTTAAATTCAGTTTCAAGCTTTAAATTCAATATAAACTTTAAACTTTGAATTCAATTTCAAACTTTAAATTCAATACAAACTTTAAACTTTAAATTCAATTTCAAACTTTAAATTCAATAAAAACTTTTTAACTTTAAATTAAACTTCAAACTTTAAATTCAACCGAGCAAGGATAGAAATAATACTTTAAATCTTAACTACATGAAATTCTAGAAAAGGCGAGCCTGAACCAAAAGCTTTTGCAAAGAGTATAATTCATAAAGAAGCGCCAAAAGGAACGAACGATCTGAAAAGACATTGAAGTTTATCTTTGCAATGAAATTTCAAATTCAATTAACTATTTTAGCTTTACCTAGATGTGTTGTTTTGGATAACATGTGCATAAATGATACACATCCTTACCCAAAAGAGTTGTGATCATCACCTATTTTGTTTGCACCATTGGTCCCTTGATGCAAACAGAAGAGGTGATCATAACTCTTATTTTGGTCATAACTATTACCCGTAACGATCCCAAACCCTTTACTTCAATCATTTTGGT